CGGCAAAAACTCCCTCGGCAGCAAATCGTCCCTCGCGGCGGCATGTATTTTACTCGCGTCGGCCGCTCATAGAAAAAAAATAACGCCGACGCCCAACAAGACTGCGAAGGAGGCTAGTGAGACTTCGTGACATTTGTTCTTCTAAAATCGTCTAAGACTCACAGATCTAGGGTTTTGTATTACTGTATTCGTCATGCCCGAAGGCTAATTGTATATACGGTATCAAAGAAAGAAATGTAAAGCAATAGGAAACATACAACTACTGTCTGTTCAACTTATACTACTATTAGGCTTGCTATTATGAGGTTTGACTTCTATTTGAAGCCAGTGGATAATAAATTGTCCCACGTTCTGCATAATGAGTCGGTTTGGTGATCTTAGTAGAAACGTAGTCTTTAAAATGGTGAAAGGATTGGGCAATAAAGTATTCATTTGGCAGTATGATAATGATTCTATCTTGACTTTCACACTTGTCCTCGTGAGGATGATGTGTTGTTGGTTGGTGCTAGAATGATTGGTTTCTGACTAGGAGGCCAAGGACATTATAATGTCCTTGAGGAGACGTATCCGTTACTCATAGACATAAGATTAAGGGCATGAATGAAGAATGATTAACTAGAAAAGTAACATTTGCAAAGCAAATGCATAATGTTTATCTTCGGACATGGTCTGCCCTGTTAATTTTTACTCAAACACATTCACATACATGTACCTCGTACTACGAGTATATGGTGACAGGAGTAGAGCAGACCATGAAATTGCAACATTATGTAACCCAACACCAGTTACCATGGTGACAGACGTCAACAAATCATGTCATTGGCCAGGTCAGAGGTTAGTGTTTGGAACAGAAGAGGAAGAAACTGAGTAAAAACAATATGTTTTCCTTCGGTAAACATAACAAGAGCGTGACACACGGATGTATTACCACAATATGTACTTACCGCATTCGCTTGTCTTGCCGAACCGGTACCGCTGTTCGCTGTTCTGCAGCGAGGCGGAAGCGTTTGAAGCAGGAGCGATGACAGGAGCATCGCGGCCGTTCCCCGCCATCCCACCGCCTGTATTTCTCGATTGGTTCGGTGGGCGACACCTCACCTGTTGAACTTGATGTACCTGTAGAGATGACCGACGCCTGTAATATAGTGTCTTTTTCTATCTGTCTGTTTGATTCAGTTGGTTTCATTGGTGGCAGACGCGGATAAGCATAGTCTAGGATGAGTTGGACCAGGGGAGACAAGACGTTGAGGGGAGACAAGGGGAGGGACTCTTGTTCTTGGGGATGGTCCTGACACGCCCACCCGGACCAAGACGAACCAATCAGAGGCCACTCCATCTCTGATTGACAGGATTGGAAGTCGTCACGGGAAGGAGTGGTGGCAGGGCGCGCCGTGTGTTCATCATCAGAATGGTCGTAGACTGGAACCAATTTTCCAACTCTAAAAAAAACAAGTAGAGAATTAAGGGTTAATGACCCGCCCCGAGGTGAATATGGTGTGACAAAGCCTTGGCAGTTGCTATAACCACCGAATGAAGCCACCGAGTGAGCGAAGCGACGCAACAAGGAAACGTGCTACAAATGTTAGCAAAAAGAGTCAACTCCCCTGCAAATGGTTTGTTCCGGGCCGTGCTTTATTGTGCAACAAAGCACACTTGTGAAAATAAAACACACCTGGCAATACCTGTATCATGCTAACTGTGACATTATGGCGTCATAATTAATATGGAATGGGGGCTTCTGATTGGTCAACGCCACCTGGCTATATGATAATACATGTACATATTGAATCACAAATCAGAAGTCACCATCCTCACCAGAATTGGATTGATAATGTCGATTGTTAGCGTTGTCCTTTAGATTAAATGCCAATTCTCACTTAAAGCCGAAGAAGAAGGAAGAAGGTCTCCCGTGCTCTTGCCCGAGCGTAGGGTGGTGCCCATCTCCATTTCTGTAGCCCTTGGGCGACACACAATTGTGCAATGCACTACAGCAGGGGGCTAGTCCGCTGGTAGTGCTGTGTGTTTGACCTTCCCACACTCTTTCTCTTATGTGCTGAGTGCTAAGCAGAGAAAGAAGTGTGTACCATTTTTAAAGTCTTTGGTATGACCCGACCGGGGTTTGAACTCACGACCTCCCGGTTACAAAGCGAGCACTCTACCAATTAAGCTATTGCACTTAAAGCCGAGGGAAACCTAATAGTTTCTGTACGTGCATGTTGTCAGGATTGTTAGGATAGCTACAATTGCCATTGACGACTTACCGAAAGCGAATGATTGTATCCGTAGGCGCCGCGTAAGAGATGTACTCTGCTTCCCATCTGGCATAGCTCATCTGTTGAAATATAAAACATCGAGTATGAATGGGGAAAGTTTTATGTTGTATGTAGTATATAACCATGTGGATAAATCGGGAGATTCTCTTAGAGTTACGAAAGTGAATGATTAGATTATTCAAAATCATATTCTGTAAGGTTTGGGCTTTGATAGTAGTTAAATATACATCAAAATTTTTTCAAATGAAACCGAGAAAATCGTAAATGTATAAATGTACATCTATTCGCGTTTCTAAATATACAACAGAAGGAATACAGAATTTTAAAAACGGAAAATTTGCGGATGCACCAATGTTTTTAACAGACACCGCCCGTAGACGCTATAGATAATGCAGATTTGTGATGTTCACCATTGAAAACGTTATACTTGATTGTATGACGCTTTTCAAATTCTGTGCTATATTACCGGTGCTGATGGTGGATTCGACGCCATTCTTGTATCTGACAAGGACACAACTGTTTTTTTTTTCGTTCAAACTTTTATAAAATCAACTATAAAACGGAATACGATCACAGCGTTTTGCTCTACAAGTAAATGAACGCGAGGTTCACTTTACCTTCTGTAAGGCAGAAAAGCACAGCAACAGAGGAACCCATGGACCGGTGAGACGTGACATGTTGACCATGCGTAGTGCTACTCCAACTACGCACACGTACGCCGGTACACTGCCGTGTGTTTTCTCCTGGCAACCGACGCCACGCCCACTATCTAACTTACCGTCATATTTACGACCAATCACGTCGTGCCTTTGAGCTCCTGGCTTTGACAATCCCCGTAAGGCCACAGCAAGTAATTTTTATGGATGACATCAGCGCGCGCATTAATTTTTGCCTGATTTTGGGAAAAAAACAAGAAATTTTGTTGCCTTCTGACAGTGATCACCATGCCGAAAATAGGCCAAGATGTCTGTTGTCATGCCGGAAGGTGGATGGCAGATAACAATAAAGAGAGGAGACAAGACAAGGCTCTGATTTTATGTTTTGTTTCTTACTTTGATACAGTGATATGTGATGCTGGCTGTGTATATGTCATGTTCCCATTGAATCAAAACCATTTGTACAATGATTGAGTCAAAGTTTCAAAATGTAAGAACCTTGTTTTTTTCGGCCCGCTTTGTTTTTTTTTCGCCCGCTCGCATTAAATTTGGAATCTGTTGAGGATGTCATCCATAAAATTTACTTGCTGTGGCCTTACCGTCATATTTACGACCAATCACGTCGTGCCTATATCCTCTGGCGAGCTCTCGAGCTCCTAGCTTCGACAATCTTCGTAACGACGAAGTAATGACTCCAAACTGCAAGACGGAAGCACTTCGGTAATCTCCGTCTTGCTACCACTACTCGACAGAACTTCAGAATGGATTTTAGGAGCGCACGTCGGCAGAACGTACAGCGCCTGCGCGAAACCACGATTTCCGTTGGATGTTTTGTCAATGTTGCATCAGAATTTTGTCCGTTGCAGACGATATTTTTTCCTGCACCACCTTTTATAACTATAGACTGGAAGCCATCCTTAACAATAAACGATATAAGGGGCCGGAAATCTCAACCAAGGGCATGTGACGTCATCCCCTGAACGGTCTGAATTGCAGTGCTCTCCAGGACCTTGCTCATAACGTAAGGCCACACCAAGTAAATTTGATGGATGACGTCCTTTGGAGACCCTAAATCTAATGCGAGAGGGCGAAAAAAAACAAGAAGGGCCCTAAAAAACAAGATGCCTAGATTAGAAATATACTAAGAGACGACAAATGTTAGGACACAAATTGAATGAGGTGACACAGATTAACAAGCAAGCCTTTTATTCCGAATCAAAACAGCAATAAATCAGGTGGAACAGCAGTTGTCGTCCTGTCCTGTTTCTTTCATCACATTTTTGCAGGCCTGCAGAAACAAAGCATGTGCTCTTTACCCAAATCTAACGATTTGCGGCACTGTCGTGACTCTTTGGTCATACTTACAGGAAGCGGAATTTCTTTTTTTTTTCTAGGAACAGGCCAAAATCAATGCGCGCGCGGACGTCATCCATAAAATTCACTTGGTGTGGCCTAAACGAAAAATACAGCTCTCTCGAAATCAGCATCGCCCAGGTGTTTATGAGATGTTGAGTAGTACATCCTTACTGACGTATACGATATTAAAATCCTTAGAAACGGAAAGCAGCTCGCCCGCACAATCGGATCATCGCTGACTGAAAGGGATTATCTATTGATTACACTAAACCCTATTTTTCATAGAACCTTTTTACTTAATATGTAGTACGGATACTCGTCTTACTTCTGCTACTGATTCATAATCGAGACAATTCCAGCTACAAATCCAGCTGCTAATAGGGAGGTTCTGTAGCGACTGTTACTGCCTGTTAGCCGTTAGTCAGTGCAGCTTGTGTTAAAGGTGCAGTGCAGTTTTTAGGTCTTGGAAAACAGATTTTTCAAAGCCATTATTCTAGTCATTTATCTACATACTGAGTTGAAAAAAAAACACTATCCCAATGTCCCTCATGGAGCAAACATTCCCAAATTTCTGACAGAAAATGGTTACCCGAAGGGCCCTGGGCTGATTTTTAGGGTACCACCCAGATAATAAAGGACTCATCTTGGGGCTTGTTTCTGCAGTTTTAAGAGCAAATGTCTGTAAGGATCAAACAATGGTGGCAGGGGTCAAAAAATCGATTTGGCTCAAACTTTGCACAGTGATAGTACTTGGCCCACAACCCCTCAAAATAGCTTTCTTTCCGGTCAACACCGATCGTTGCCATGGTAACGGGCCAAACAAGTTTCGGGGCCATTTTCCCTGATTTAGACATGTGAAAAACATGAAATTTGGCATAGTTTAAGGCACGATTACGAGCAAGTGCTTTAATATTATGGAAAAACAAAATATGGGCCTAAAAGACCAACTAATCCGCTATTCTAGAATAGCTTTGAAATTTTCAAGAAGTTCGTTTAAAGGACCTGGGCAACCCTAACACAATACAGTGTTTGAGGCTTATGAAAAAGCGTTATTTCTGCCCAACTTCGAAGTGCTATAAGTCCAAAGATGGTGATTTTTTTTTGCTTCAAATTTGAATCATAGATACATAAACATATGTGCTATAAAATGCATGGTTGCAAACTTTGGGCACTTCTTTGGTTGTCACGTGGTTGTCCTTAGAAGTAGGTCAAATTTTGAATTTGAGGGAAAATATGATTTTCAGCCATGTTCAGGATACAATATCTACAAACGAAAGAAAGCAATCTGATAAACTCTTCTGCCCAAAGTAACACTATGTCTTGTGTATCAAATGAATACTTGTGGAGGTCGGGGTCTTGTGTCGTTGGTGTGCACTTGTCCCTAAAAGTAGGCCATATTTTGAACATGTACAGAAATTGACATATACGGCTATGTTTGAAGCTCTAGAAATAACAAAGTAGGATGTCATTTGAATTCAATCTTTGCAGGGAAGTACATATATGTATTGTGTATCAAATGAGTACTTGTGGAGGTTGGGGTCTTGTGTCGTTGGTGTGCACTTGTCCCTAAAAGTAGGCCATATTTTGAACATGTACAGAAATTGACATATACGGCTATGTTTGAAGCTCTAGAAATGATGAAGTAGGATGTCATTTGAATTCAATCTTTGCAGGGAAGTACATATATGTATTGTGTATCAAATGAGTACTTGTGGAGGTTGGGGTCTTGTGTCGTTGGTGTGCACTTGTCCCTAAAAGTAGGCCATATTTTGAACATGTACAGAAATTGACATATACGGCTATGTTTGAAGCTCTAGAAATAACGAAGTAGGATGTCATTTGAATTCAATCTTTGCAGGGAAGTACATATATGTATTGTGTATGACCTTGAATAAACATTTTATCGACTTACTAATGTTCTTTTTGTGACTCACAATACCTCAGATTCTGCCAGTGTGACACTGGCAGAATCTGAGGTATTCAGTCACCTTAGCTACAAAGGCAGATTTGCGTCGGCGGTCTGTAATGGTCGAAACATCAATATCGAAATGGTCACATATGGTCTTTAGGGATGGCATACCGAGCTCATACAGTTCACCTCTTTTTGCCATATCACAGAGGTTGTATGTATCATACAACACTGGATGTTGTAGTTGAACTTCTTTCATCACATGTGTTTGGAGGGCACTATGGATAGACTCCAACTCTGCAGGGTCTTGTTGTTCATCCTCTGCATCGGCATCGGCTGCTGTCTTCCGTCGCTTGGCCGCCAGTCTTGAAAAGTAACTGGAGACCTGCTGACTGGTAAGAAACTCTGTCACACGGAACAGCCTTTGGCCTTGCGAGTCACGGGCTTTTCTCATCTCTCTAGAAACGGTTACAGGGTCCAACTTCTTTCCCGTCGTTTCACCCAGCAGGAACTGCCTATCAAGATATGTCTTCTTTTGATGGTAAATCTTACTGGCTTCTTAGGGCTACGTAGCGCCCATCCTTGCTGTGGACATGGGGTATTTCTTTTTGCTTCCAACTGCAAGGATGGCTCCACATGTGGCACTGCTGATGGGCCTTGCTCCAGCCGTTCTGCATACTTTAACTTTGCCTTGTCAAGCAAAGTCTCTCTTTCAAGGCGACGTCTGTGTTTTCCCACAGCTATGTGCTCCTCCAGGCCTTTGAACGTTTTGTAGACTCTGATGCAGCTGTCTTCAGGGCAAGGAAAAATGCTGCCACAGCCCTGTTGCTCAGTCGAAAGACCTGTTTCCCCATCGGAATCTGACTCTTCACCTTGCTGAACGTGCAGCTTCTTCTGCCTGGATTTCATAGGTCGAAATGCAGACCTCGGATTAGACGGCTGGCTGACGATCTTCAGTGTTGGTGGCTTTACGGCAGGAAATCGGGACCCGGGGATAAGATTACCTTCACCAATGTTATATGCCCTCCAAACACGGAGACCTGCCTCGGTGAACTCAAAATTGTTCAGCTTGCTGATCCCATCCAGTTTTATGGATGTCACAGTTTCTTCTGTGTCCACTTCGCATAAGAAGACTTTTACTCCTGGAATTCCCCCCATGTGACTCTACAGCGGTCTTGAACTCATCTGCGGTCTCGACATTGTGGCCTTCATTGATCCAGCTCTTGATGTGAGATTTCACAGTTGCAGCCTTCCTGTCGCAAGACCCCTTACCTCCCTGTGGATCACAATAGTCCACTCGTCTGATGGTGACACCTGTTGCTTCACTGATGTGCTTTGCTGCTTGAAGTATCAGTGTGTTGTGGTAACATCCAGCATTATCACTTCGGACGTATACAGACTTGAGGGCTGGCAGCTCCGCCTTTAACTGCTGTACTGTGTGTTCCAAGACGGAGACTACTGCATTGCTATCCTGGGTACATGTTTGGAACAGGTGAATGAAGGTTTCTACTTGCAGGGTGGATGTGTTGTCTCGCCGGTGTGCGACCGTGATGTGCCAGGGGATTCCGCGTTTGCCAAACCAGTCAGTCTGGCTTTCCCGGAATTTTCTGGGCAAGAATTTCATTGCCCAATCCAGTACGAGAAGAACACTTGAATCCCCAAGATTATCCATCAGGTCATGCCAGGCTCCATCTTGATTCATACTCCGGAGTTGATGAGACTGCCAAGCACATATGTCCTGTTTGGCTTGGTCCAGTGTGAATTG